ATGCTGCAGTCCCTCCCCCTTCATTTCGCCACTCTATCAGGATAGGGGACATGCACGCACACGTGCCCGGTGTGTTTTTTCAAGTCATCAGGACTTGAGGGCCAGGACTCGAGTCATGCAGTCAGCAATATGGGATCTGGCTCCCTTAACCACCAGAACTTGGGGCTGGCCCAGTCCTTGCCTTTTCTTAATAGAATTGGATAAAAAAAATAAAATCATGGAAGAATTATTACATTAAAAAAATTCTACCTGTAGTATGCTACCTTTCACAGAAAAGAGAAGTGGTTATAAGAGGAACAAACGTGTATTCGGCAAAAGACACATAGGAAGAAAAAACAGGAAGTGCACCGCGTTCGGAGTGGGTGTGTGTGGAATAGAGCGGGAGCTGTCAGTACGTATTCAAGGTCTGTAACTTACACACACAGGAAATGCACCGCGTTCCGAGTAGGTGTGTGTGGAATAGAGCGGGAGCCGTCAGTACATATCCCAGGTCTGTAACTTACACACAGGAAGTGCACCGTGTTCCGAGTGGGTGTGTGTGGAATAGAGTGGAGCCGTCAGTACGTATCCCAGGTCTGTAACTTACACACACAGGAAGTGCACCGCGCTCCGAGTGGGTGTGTGTGGAAGATCACATACTTCCTAGCTCTGTCTGCTAAGAGGTCCTAGGACATTTCACAGTATCATTCACAGAACTCACACCCTGGTTTCTCAACATGATTCTCCAATGAAAAGAATGGGGGCTCCTTGGGAAATGGTTAATTCTAGGCCTTAGGCAGGGAGATTTTAAGATGTGCCTGGAGTGTCTTAGTGTCAGAAAGTAAGAAGTGCTAAAACAAAACAAAACAGACCACACACACACACACACACACACACACACACACACACCGTGGGATATGCTGAAGGGACACAAGAGCCAACTTGAAGGAATTTCCAAGAGCCAAATCTGGGACAATTTGAGCAAAAAAATAAATAAGGACAATAATGAATAATAACCTACAGAACAAAACAAGTGTTCACAGGTCCATAATGACATAAATAAACTGAATAAATATGTGTGGGGGGAGGGATAGCCTCTTCTTATGGTAAATTTCCAATTAATAAATGTAGAAGCAACAACAGAGGGCCTGCCTCAGGGCGGGGAGGTTATGTGCTGTGTGTAGGGAGCCAGATCCCACGTGGCTGACCATGGTTCAAATCCTGGCCCCAGTGTTTAAAAAAACATGCCTAGCATGTGTACCTACATGCCTCGAATTGTGATGGGAAGGAGAAACGGGGCAGAGGAACTGTGCGTGAGCACCCCTCTTGTGAGGAGCGCTCTCTCTCTCTGGCAAGTGCATATGCCCTCTGGCAATGAGAATAAACAAACAAAAATACATTTAAAAGAAACAATGGAAATAGAAAAATTACCACTAGTCGAATGAATACCACAGTAGTAACTATCATATGTAAAAAAGTATTAACAGATGCTAAAATGTGTGGAAGTATGATATAGTACAATATTTCTAATGGGATACGTAATCATTTATAAAAGGAAACTTTATAAAAGTAACTTTACAGGAAAGAAATATCGTAAAACCAACTTAACCGAGGAATCTTGGTTAATATCACCAAAAAATCATGTGTGTCTTGGTAATGATAAACTAGGAAGGGTGCAACATCGCTTATGTGGTATTTCCCCCAAAATAACTCTAATTATTTAAAATATCAGACAAACCACATAGAGGGACAGTCTACAAAATGGCCAATTGTCTTCAAAAGCAACAGTGCTAAAAAAACAATGAAACACTGAAGAACTGTTGTAGATTAGAGGGAAAGAAGATAGGACAACAAATGGAATGCTGGATTCTGAATTTGATCCTGGACCAGAAAAAGACCTTAGTGTGGTCATTTGTGAAATTCAAATAAAATCTGGAGCGCAGATGATAGCACTGTATCAATGTTAAGCTCCCGACTTTTGTGAAGGTACTGTGGTTAGGTGAGACATTTTTATTGGGGGTGTTATGGGAAGCATAGTAAGGGAATCCTCTGTACTAGTTTTTGTAAATTTTCTGTAAGTCTAAAATTATATCTAAATGAAAAAAGTTTTTAATGACTCCCATTAAAAAATACCAAAAAAAGCAAGATTTGATTTAATTCATCCTTCTCCAAAGTTATCTCTACAGTGGTAGTTCTGTGGTACTCTCTGTAATTGGGAAATATTTTTCCTTCTAATTTAGTGGACAAAACTTCCAATTTTGGGACCAGCAGTTAGCGTAACGGTTATGTCGCTGGACTCCCATGTAGTCGACCGCAGTTCGCGTCCTGGACCTGGTGGCTTAAAACTCACGCCGGGCGCATATGCGTGCGTGCTCAAGATCCCGGGAAGAGAATGGAGGAGAAGGGATTGCAGTGTGGCCATCCCACCTGGGGGGTGATTTCTCGCTTTCTCTCTCTCTGTCTGTCTGGCGAGCGCACACGCCCTATAGCAAAATAACCTCTCAAAAAAATAAAATCCAATTTTAAAATATGTTATAAATGATTGAATCTAGGGAGTCTGTTACCGTAGGGGGGGGAAACACACACACAAACACACACACACACACACACACACACACACACAAACTCCTGCTGTTGCATATATTCATATTTTATATTGAAATATATGAAACATATGCAATTTGTCATAATAAAAATTTAAAATACACATTTATAGACTAACTTTTTATGTGCTTATTAATAAAGTTTGTGTAATTTTCTACCATTCCCATCACCTCCACAGGCACTTAGAATTCTCTCACGGAGCTTTAGGGCGAGTACTAGAACTTTACAATTGGAGAGGACCAGCCTTGCCAGCCTCCTCAGGAAGGAGCCTAATGCCCAGAGGTGAGGTTTGATGGCAGCCAGCTGACTAGAACCCCTTCCCCAACCCTGGTCTTGGCTATTTCTGCAACATTATACATCTGAGCTCTTCTTCATTTATCCAAAAACTTATCATGCATGACAATGATCTAAATACTTCGACTGTGACAGTACAGTAATAATATTTTTTTGAGAGGTTTTCGCTATAGGGTGTGTGCGCTCGCCAGACAGACAGAGACATAGAGACAGAAAGCGAGAAATCACCCCCCAGGGGGGATGGTCACACCGCAATCCCTTCTCCTCCATTCTCCTCTCGGGATCTTGGGCACGCACGCACACGCGCCCGGCGTGAGTTTAAGCCACTGGGTCCGGGACGTGAACCGTGGTCGACTACGTGGGAGTCCAGCGACATAGCCATTACGCTAACTGCTGGTCCCTACAGTAATAATATTTATAACTACTTTCAAAAAAACAAATACAGGGGAAACCAGCAGTTAGTGTAATGGCTATGTCGCTGGACTCCCATGTAGTCGACAGCGGTTCGCATCCCAGACCCGGTGGCTTAAAACTCAACGCCGGGCACGTGTGCGTGCGTGCCCAAGATCCCGAGAGGATAATGGAGGAGAAGGGATTGCGGCGTGACCATCCCCCCTGGAGGGTGATTTCTCGCTTTCTGTCTCTATGTCTCTGTCTGTCTGGCGAGTGCACGCTCCCTATAGCGAAAATCTCTCCAAAAAAAAACAAAAACAAAAACAAAAACAAATACAGGTACCCATGCAGAAAGTCTTTGCTAAACACCCAACGTGTGTCAGGCATTGCAAGTGAGACTGCAAATAGAAGTGGAGAAAAGTCCCGGTGCTCAGCATGCGGGCATACCGGGACAAATGGGCACAGGCCGACTCTCACAGTGACGAGCACCCGGCACAGCGGTACACACGGCTGCTCTGGGGGGGAGAGCAGCCAGCAACCAGCCCTCAGCCAGCCTTACTCTCCTAGCGAATGAAGGAGAATGGCTTCAGGTCGCTCAGTAAAGGGCAGAGCAGGACTTGAACCCAGGTCTAGTAAATAATAGAATATATATTATTATTAAATTTTTATTTACATCATGATCTGATTTTTATCTTGGTAACAGCCAGTGAAATAGAGTCCTGAAGGAGATTACAATCTACTGTTCTGTTTAAGTAGGTTTGTAACTCACTCTTCTCACCTAAGGATAATAAATCTTACTTCATAAGGTTATTGTGAGAAATAAATTAATATAAATGAATAAAGTGAAGAAACTAATGAAGTTGTTGGTATACTAAGGAGTTCATAAACTGAGAATTCTTTGATGGATGGAATTAACTTTTTTTTTTTTTTAAAGTTTTTGTCATAGGACATGTGTGTTTCCCAGAGAGAAAGAGAAAGAAACTGAGAAATCACCTCCCCCAGTGGGGATGATAACACTGTAATCCCTTCTCCTCCATTCTCCTCTCTGGATCTTGGGCATGCAAGCACATGCTCACAGATGGATTTTTTTAAAAGTTTTATTTCCTGAGAGAGAGAGAGAGAGAAGAAAGGTGCACACCTCTCCAGGGTCCCCACACTGCAATTCTCCCTGCAGTCCTGAAGCGGGCCATGATCGCCAGCACGCCAGCTTTCTCCAGGCAGACCCAGGAAGCTTCCCACATGGCCTCCTGTGTCACACGGCAGCAAGTGTGCCACTGTGACTAGGCCCGCCCCTTTTATTCATGTTGGAGTGTGCAGAGTCTAGTGGGGTGTATGCCACGTACACGGTGAATTATTATTAAAAGAAGTGTTATTAAATATTGAATCCAAAACTATTCTTGAGATACAGCCATATGTTTATTTCTAAATGACATTATTTATTCATTTAGTTTTTGCTAAAGGGTGCATGTGGTGAGAAATCATCCCCTGGCGGGGATAGCCACACAGCAATCCCATCTCCTCCATTCTCCTCTTAGGATTTTGGGTACACGTGCACACACACTTAGTATGATTTTCGAGCTGCCGTTTCCAAGTCTCAAACCACAGTCAGCCACGTGGGAGTCTAGCACCTCAACCACCATGTTCCCTGCTGGCCCCGATAGTCAGATTTTTTTTCGTTGACATGGAACCCAATTTTGAAGGACTAGCACCCTCTCACAGCAAATACTTACTTTCTACTGTTGCTCCTTCATTGGGGTTTGAGTAGCCCTCTCCTTTTCTTTTGATTCTCCGAATAATGCCTCCATCTTCAAATAAATCCTCTCCTTTGAAATCAAGGAGCTCAATCTAGAAAGATAAAGGGATTTGGCTGAGAAAACGCCTAATAAAGCCGATTTAACATACATAAAGGCAAGGGCAACCCTGTCTCTCTTTTCATTTTACAAAAGAAAACTATTTAAAAAAAATAATATGTATCTGGGCCAGCTTGTGGCGTGGTGGTTAAGGCGGCTGAAATCCCACAGGGCTGAGTCCTCGGTCAAGCCTCAGACCTGGTGGCTTGAAAAACACGCCAGGTGCATGGTGTGCCTGCACTCCTGAGAGGAGGATGGAGGAGGAGAAGGGAATGACATGGGGCCAGACCCTCTAGCCTGTGCTTCCTCACTTTGCTTCTCTGTCCCGTTCTGGTGAGTGCAGGAACTCTATAGCAAATTTAAAATAGGTATTTACACATACGTATCTGTGCATCTTAGTTATTAGAAAAACAGGAAAAGAACCCTGTGCTTTTTAGCACGCGGACAGGATTTCGGGTAAGGATAATGTCTAGGACTCCATCCTGTGGGGGAGCAGAGCACAGACAGACGGGAAATCCTGGGAAAGCGGGCCTGTGGGCACAGAGCCAGCGCTATACGGTGCTGGCACAGAACGGCTTTATCCAACTCAGGCGACGGCTTCCCACTTGGAGTTTCCTTCTTCAATCTAAGAATAAATCTTGGACTCTGGCCTAAAACCCACTGCAGGTGTACTTCACCTAGTTAGGATGGTTCTTAAATCAGGTTTTGCCAAATGTGTGTATTCCAACATAGAATGAGTAACAGGTTGTCACCACCTGCCACTTCTGCTGGAGACCCGAGATCGGTGACAGAAGCCTCTGTGAGATGGAGATACCTTACAACGTGGTAAGCATGTTTCGACATTTATCTCCAATGCTCTCCTCCTGCCTTCTGGTCAGTTTGAGTACGTCTTACTCACACCACTGCCAAAACTTTATTTTTAAGTCTAGGGTCATTTGTTTATTTGGACACAGCCTTTTGGTGCCAGAGACACATCTGTAAGAAAACACTGGTACACACTTCTCAGGTCTGTAGGAAACCACTCAAGAAGCCAAGTTTCCAAATAAATAAGTTGGATCTGATTCTCAAGAGCAAGCTTACTCCTCGTTCCACTGCCTGCTGCTTTGAAACCGGCCTGACAGCAGAGCAGATTCTGACAAGGCAACCTCACACATGTACTTGCCTCAAAAAAGAGAGTTGCATTCGAGGGGATTTTGGGGAGACTGCCGGCTGAGCCGTATGCATATTCCGGTTTGCACAGTAAATGGCAGATCTCGCCTTTCTTCATGGTAGACACTCCAATGTCCCACGCCTTGATAACTTGGCCTAAGAGAAAGGGAAAAGTAGTTGAAAGCCACAGGTTATATTTAAAAGATCTACCTTTCATCAAACAAACATTTGAACACATTTCCAATTCTTCATCCCATAAACTCACCTAGAAAGTACTGGGCTACAAGACACAACTCAGAGTAAAAGTGCACACACAAGTAAGGGGAGTTTTGGAGACTATCAAAGACTACTCCTTGGTGAGGAGGATACAAGTGGGAAATATCCTTTAACTATCCAAATATTATTACGTTGTCGGGACAGTCATGACATATTTTTCTATTTTCCTACACAAAACTGAGTCACGACTTTCCAGACAACCCAATAAATCTTTGAAAAGCGGTGGTAACATTAGCCATGACATGTGGCCGGTGCTACAATTGTTCTTAATGATCATTTCTACCATAATAATATTTTCTAGGCAGAGGTAGAACAACAATAGTACAGAAGATGGAGTTTATCTCAAGGAAGCTTATAATTTAATTCAGTAATTAAAAAAAAAAGAAATAAGTAAGAGGGGCCGCTTATAATTTAATTCAGTAATTAAAAAAAAAGAAATAAGTAAGAGGTGTTGGCAGGTGCTATGGTGGTTAAAGGTGCTGGATTCCCACAGGGCTGACTGTGGTTTGAATCCTGGATCTGGCGGCCTGCTTTCTCATTTTCCCTTTCTCTCTCTCTCTCTGTCTCTCTCAGTCAAATTAAAAAATAGTATCAACAAATGGAATTAAATAAATAAATAAATGTTTTTCAAAAGTTAAAAAAAAAAAAAAAGGGACCAGCAGGTGGCGCGGTGGTTAAGGTGCTGAACACTCCCAAATGGCCGACCATAGTTCAATCCTGGCCCTGGTGGCTTGCTTTCTCACTTTCCCTCTCTCTCTTTCTGTGTCTCTCTCCAGTCAAATTAAATTAATGAATACATAAAATAAAATAAAAAAAATTTTTTTTTGGAGAGGTTTTTGCTATAGGGCATGTGCGCTCCCCAGACAGACAGAGAGAGACAGAGAGATAGAAAGTGAGAAACCACCCCCCGGGGGGATGGCCACGCTGCAATCCCTTTTCCTCCATTCTCCTCTCGGGATCTTGGGCACGCACGCATGCACATGTGCCCAGTGTGAGTTTAAGTCACCGGGCTCTAGGACTCAAACTGCGGTCGGCTACGTGGGAGTCCAGCGACATAGCCATTACGCCAACTGCCCGTTCCAGCTGGGGGTAGGAGGT